ATTGAATAATTATGATATGCCGGCATTTGATAATGTTAAATTTATGTGTATTACTATGGATACAATATCCGTGCCAACTCGCTCATCAAAAATGTTCCATTTGGTGTCCGCATCACCATTAAAACACGTGCATTCTTTCAACCTTCTATTCTTCTCTCGCTTTGTAATGATCATATTAACAACCATTCGTGGCGTAACACATACGCCATTCATCTCAAACCGCTGCAGCGCCTTCAAAACCAGATGACAAAATTAATGACGTATCCATATCGTTCCCATTCTATACCCATCAATCAAGAGCTGCGTATTCTACCGATTCAAGAGTTGCTTTATCACAGATCGTCCCTCATCACATACCGCGTCATTCATTGTGAAATATCATTAGTTATTATTCCTCACCATGTCCTTATCAACAACAATACTGCCAGATTTTCAGACCACAATACATTTTTTAACCAAAATAAGATCGATCTATGGCAGATTTATAGCTCTCTTCTATTATATTCATCTTTGGAATCACGTACCTCTTCATACTGAATCATCGGGGTCACTGCAATCTTTTAAACACAACATGAAAAACATATTGCTTGAACCTACTGTTAATCTGTAATAAATTTTCATCATCACATCACAGTTTTGTATTGGTATATTTAAGCTATGTAATAATGCCGCTATGGGAAACTCATCTTTTTTTTTAGTATAAATCGTTCTGCTCTTATTGCGTTCCCTTATTTGTTCGCTCTTTTTGCTGCTGTTACCTTTGATGTATGTCACTCATTATAAAAGCTCCTCTTGACATGCTCGTACTTTGGGACCTCCTGATTCTGTATGTATTACGTAAGCTGTTTTTTTTCAGTACATGCAATAACCTTGGACTTCAGAGAAAATGTAGCTTCACGGGGTCGTTGCATCCAGCTTGGGAATGTCGCTTTCCGTAGAACAACGGCTGCTGGTACTGGCCGGCAAAGCAGCGGCACAACAGCGGCGAACAAAACAGGGGAATGCAACTGCGGCGATTTTTTTACCATGTCAAGATAATGAAGCTTTTATGTTCTTTAGACACACTTCTCACGCGCCCGATTACTGAAATGCTCAAAAAAGTTGAAAATATTTTTTAAATTACCTCAATATCGAAACCGAAACTCAGCCAAGTGCACTTCTACGTGTGACGTAAAGATTTGCCTGACGCTGCCGGAACCTGCCTCGCTGCACATAATGCCCGCCCGATGGCATTACATGTCCACGCCGTCCACGGCTAAAACGCGATATTGAAGAGGGGCCTCATGCGCCCCCGGAGGCCCTAAATGAATTTTGCAGGTACGCCACGCCATATATGCTGATGACGTCACAATCTGCAGCCGGTCTGGTAGCCTAAGTCAGATAGAAGAAGCCTTCCAACAAACCGCCTCGATCGTAAAAAAGATATAACGCAAGAGTGGTCTGGAGGCTCCCCCACCAAATCATAAATCCTATAGTATGTAGAAATAAGGCATCTGACAATACATTACTCAACGTACAACTCAGTGGAACGCAAATTAAAGAGGTTGAAACCTTCCGAATTCTGGGGGCCCACTTCAATAATCGGGACAACTCATTTGCTTTACATAAACTAATAACGTCCTGCCTACAAATCTCTCGCATGATTAGTCGGGTGGCTAACCGACGACGAGGGATGAAAGAACACGACATAATGCGACTCATTCAGGCATTTGTTATCAGTCGCATAACCTATAGCTTTCCCTACCTGAAGGCCTCGAAAGCAGACGAGCACAAAATAGACAGAGTCATACGTGTGACTCTCAAGAAGGCTCTGAACCTTCCCCCGTGGACCCTCACGGAACGTCTGCTTCAAATGGGGCTCCACAATACCGTATCAGAACTATACCATGCACACCACACGAATCAAGTCATGCGCCTCGCCATCACTGAAACGGAACGGAAAACACTATCAGAACTTGGCATCGAAGCCCCCATTGAGAGAAGGGGAAAACAACGTATCCCACATGAATGGAGGCAGGACTTCATCATCAAACCACTTCCATACAACATGCATCCTCAGTTCCATGAACATCGACGTCGGGCACGGGCAAAAGTTCACGACAACTATTCAGATACTGAGGGCGCCTTTGTCGATGCAGCTGGACCAGTGAACGGCAAATATACTGCAAGCGTCATTCATTGTGGAGAACAGGTTGATTGTATATCAGCCCAGGACACCGACACAACTAGTATGGAAGAAGCAGGAATTGCTGTCGCCCTACGAAACCCAAGGTCCACTTTCGTTCTAACAGATTCAAAAGCAGCCTACCAAAATTTTTGTAAAGGCTACATTGGCGCCCCATTGCGCATCGACTTCTTACACAACTCTCGTCCTCATGCTCGGAGGGCGAATGGAAACAGCTGATATGGATACCCGGCCACTGCGGAGTTAGAGGCAATGAACTCGCCCATGCCTAGGCTCGAGAATCACTCTTCCGGATCTCCGACCCCGGCATATCGCACCCACCCTCGGCTATGCGTATGAACCCGTTCCTAACGTACACAGATATTCTAGAACATCAAAGACTCGAAAGACGGAAACTTCCGCCCCCGAGGCCAAAGCTCAGTAAAAGAATCTCAGGTAGCGTGGCGTAGGTACCGTGGCCTGCAATCCTTGTTTTACCTGAATCCATACATACTGTCCAAGCTAGATCCCGACACATACGCACCACAGTGCAGGTTCTGCGTCACTAGAACAGCCACCCTGTACCACATGGTATGGGAATGCCCACACAATCCACCTCTACAAACCAGAGCACAGCACAACACTGTAGGGTGGGAGGCAGCTCTGTCCAGCTCGGATCCGAAGACCCAAGAGGCCCTCGTGAGACGAGCGAGGACAGCGGCCCGTGCCAATGGCATCCCGGACTAAGGATTCCACTCACCAACATTCCTTCCTTGGTCGTAAATAAATGTTTTATTCTCTCTCTCTCGGCTGCCCCGCCGCGGTGGTCTAGTGGCTAAGGTACTCGGCTGCTGACCCGCAGGTCGCGGGTTCCAATCCCGGCTGCAGCGGCTGCATTTTCGATGCAGGCGGAAATGCTGCAGACTCGTGTGCTCAGATTTAGGTGCACTCTAAGAACCCCAGGTGGTCGAAATTTCCGGAGCCCTCCACTACGGCGTCTCTCATAACCATATGGTGGTTTGGGGATGTTAAACCCCACATATCAATCAAATAATCAATCTCTCTCTCGGCTGAAACGCTTACGCTGGTCTGGTGAATATATGGCGAACCGTGTGTGGCTCACAATGCAGCATCACTTGGCACCTACCGCACGCTTACCAACACGAAGAAGGAAATCGCAAGCTCAACCAAGGAAGCGCCGGCCAAATCCACACAATCTATAGCAGACAAGCAGACGCTGCAGTGGTACATCAGTTCGTCACTTCCACCAGGCAAAACTCAACGTCACACACAGTTTTGCCATCAAGTCTGTCAAGCGAGGTGAGCGTTTCGAGGCCAGTTATAAAATTCATTTGAAAAGCATCTGCGAAACTCTCAAGCCTGCAATTGGGCATGAATGGCGCCAACGCGCAAATGAACGTACCCTATGAATTGCGTCGAGATCCACTGACCTCGAGAATTGCGTCGAGATCCACGGACTCCACGTATCCGTTGTAGCACGTCGACGTGTGGCTTTTTGATGCGGCGCCACGCCCTCTCCTTATAGAGAGAGTGGGCGCTTAGCTATGAAGCTGCGCGCTTTCTCTCTGGTGGTTTGCTTGCTTGCTTGTTCCTTTTTTGTGTGGCTCTCACCCACTAAGGGGGATTGGCCAAGAAGCCGGTGGTTAATGCAAGTCAATACCTATAGATTTTCTAAACTATAGGGAATATGATTACTGTGTTTTGACTGTGAAATTAATTTGGCGCAATGTAAAAAAAAGAAAAAAAGGAGGGGAAGAGAAATAATAGAACTTGTTGAATATCTGAGGTGGAATCGTTATATGAAATTCTCCTGAAAGTTGAATCATTGCAGTGTATCAGCTAAATAATAAGTGGTAGTGTGGCTAGTAAAATTCGAGAGCTGTTCGCTGACTCAGCAAGGTAATCTTCTTGTGTTATACATGAATTCGCAGAGAGCCCCGCAGATGTCCCTGTCACTGTGTCCTAATGAAGTGGCCCCAAAAGACAAAATATTGGGAGTATTATTACTCTGGTGGTCAGAATAAGAAATGAGGTGCCTTCTTCTTCTAACCACCACAAAAGACACGCGCTGCAACAGATACGTGGGGTCAGGTCTTTACCGATTGACTTGGAAGGAGAACGTTTCGGCCTTCGAATAATTTAACATCAAGAAAAGTTTTGTTTAATCCAGTTAATTTCTGTCCAACATGATGATTGTATTCTGATTTGAACGAGTGAAAACAATTATTGCACTCCTTGTGTTTTACGTACGTTGCTTTTCTTTCGTGTATTGATATTGAATACGGAAAAAAAGTATCACTAAATTGCATAACCAATTTTTGGCCGATCCATTTGAGTAGATAGAGCCATGTTTGCGGATGCATCATCGTCATCGTCGAGCCGATCGTTTCTTTAAATATATATCAGGCACCATAGTTTCCCAGGTAATCTGTCATTTTTCTATTATATAATCGACATAAACTTCGTACTAATTTATAAAACTACTCAATTCTTGGTCAATCTTCACAGTGCGTATGCGCTACAGTTAATAGGTGAACAAGACCTCTAAGTCTTCCCCGTGTAGATGACCCACTATACAGGATAGCCGATCCCCTTGCGTGGATAAGTGCCAATCATCCAAGGCGCATCGACATCATAATCATTTCGCGCGCAGAGAACAAGCATGGGTTACGAGAACACGCCGGTCGTAAGGGTATACGCATAAGCCCGAAGGCGCCGATTTCGATTCTGTCCAATCGTGATAGGCTGGCGGATAGCCGACGGACACCACCGCTTTGAGGCCCAGCTAGCTCTGTCTGGGTGTCAAACGGCCACTATGTACGCCGCCAGCTGGTACCCGAAATCGGTCGATCACAACGCGCCGTCGGCCACTTGCCTCCTGAGGATCAGGCGGGACATCCAGGAGATCAAGACCGACCGGTTGCCCGGCATCTACGTCTTGCCCGAGGAGAACGACCAGAGCAAGCTGCACGCCGTCGTGGTCCGGGGACCTTCGGGCACGCCTTGCGAAGGCGGCTTCTTCCACTTCTTCGTGAAGTGCCCGTCAAGCTACCCGATGCAGCCGCCTTACGTGCGCCTGGTGAACACGGACGACGGTAGCGTGCGCTTCAGTCCGAACTTCTACGCTTTCGGAGAGGTATATGGGTCGAGTCGTAACGCCGGCTTTTCGCTAGTCATGAACTCGTGAGAGAAGATTGATTTCCCATACTTATAGTGATATCAGCTTTTCCCTACTTATGTGAGGTGGGTTCGCAATAATCGTTAAATTCTCAATTTTTCCCACTCTTGTTCCTTCACCCGTCTATTCGGCCTTAACAATGCGATACGTTTCCAACCGAGCCCGCGCTTGGTTAGCGTCCCTGTCCTCTGCCTTTACACTTCGTTTTTCTGACTCTCCCCATACTTATAATGACAACATACGTACAATAGAAACAATATATCACGGATCGCATTTGTCAGAAGTGCAGTATTGCATACTTAAATTCCGGTAAAACACAAAACGGTGGAAGAGTCACTTGTATATACTACATGGACCTACCAAGCAGACAGTGCAAGCGCTTTCAACCACGGACATTTATAACTCCTAATAATAGATGCCTGAATGGGCAATAGTCGTGATTTCAAATCTCTTTTACGGATTAATAGGTTAGTAGCTTTTTACGTTTCCAGTTCGAGCTGTTCTGAACTGAAAAAAAAAACTTTTTTTATTTATTTGGAAATTGCGATTTCATGACGCGGAAAGCACTCTTGGCGAGATGATTGGTGAGTGAGCGAACACGCCAAATGAAAAAAAAAAGAACAGATTGAGACGCTTCCTTTAGAGTTCATGACGTCATAGAGTCTGACGGTACCTATTAAAACAATCGTAATCGTTTGTCACTGGAAATGATTTACATTCTGTTCTAAGGAACGTAGCCAGCTAGTATCAAGATTCAGATAATCTCATTAAACGACTGGCCAAATAGGTAAAAACGACTATTGGTATACGCCACGTTACTCTTGACGTTCGCGTGCTGAAATTATGGAACGTATTTCAAGCTTGAAACTTTGACTTTCATCTATATTCTACTAATTAACTTATGAGGCAGAAATGAATAGTAATATAGAGTTCTGAATATATAATTTACCAGCCTAAGCTCATCGGTGTTTCACTACAACCTCTCTTTCTCCGTCACTCTCGTATAGCTCTGTCTGAGCATTCTGGGCGCTTGGTCGGTGCCCGCCTGGAGTCCGGTGCACACCATAGGCACCGTGCTGCTCTCTATCCAGTCGATACTTAACAAGGAAGCGTACTACAACCTTCCCGGACAAACAAGAGGGATATTCTTTGACGGCTCCAAGAGCTACAATGAGAGGTTGCGACTTGAGGCCATCAGGGTCGCCGTCTGAGACACCGTAGAAGCCTGCCTACAAGACAGTGCTCCTTGTCCGCCGGACCTGGTAGCGACCACCTTGAAGACGTTCGCCTATAGTTCTACGACAAGTACGAGAAAAATGTCGCAGAGCGGCTCTACCTTACCGGGACCAAGATGTCCAGGGGCGAGCTGGGTCCGAATGTGAATGACGCCACCTTTCAGTACGAGACGCTGCTGGCGCGGCTCCAGGAACTGACAGAGCGCGTCAGGAGGAAGCTCCAGGATGAATTTAATGCGCGCTTGGTTAACGGTAATGCCAGTGTCATTAATGGAAAGTGACGTACTGCCGCTGTCACGGCCTTCCAGCAGTATACGACGGAAAGTGGGGTCGCTTCTCGTGTATACGACGGAAGCGTCAATATAAACCTTGAATATGACCTAAATTAGCATAAACAAACCAACAAAAACAAAACTGATAAGTCGTATTTCACGAAACAAGTTGGTACCGCGCAGGAAGGAAAGTACGCTTTTCATTCACTCTGATCGTGATTGTACTCACAATACGGCGTTGTCTTCGCAGTCCATCATCATACTTAGCGCCTTTTTTATGTTCGAATGACGCATATATGATTGCTGTTGTGTCACAGTGAACAAGTAACTTAGTGGCAAATTAAGACATCTACATATTTTTGAAAAAGCGCTGAGCGCAGCTGCTGTGAATGATCGGGGAGTTCGAATTACTTCGAGCCTAACGCGTGTTGTTGGATGCAATGTTAATTTGTTATACGCGCATTTATAACTCGCTTTTTATGTGCTTCTTAAATCACGCCGTTCAGTGTTCATCCGGGTGATATTTTGGTTCATGTAATGCCCGCTTTACAAGCACCCTTTGTACGCGCCCCTGCAATATCTCGCAATGAGGCGGCGGTACATGTAAGTAGGAAGGGTCAAGTACCGTGGCCCGTTGTAACGTGACGGCGTTAAGTAGCTCCGCTTTCGCAGAAATGCTGGTGTCGTTGATTTTGGTCGACAAATCAGCGTTGTCCTTGGGCTTTCTTGGCGGGGGCCGACTCCGAGGGAGTGAAAGGCAGGATTTCTTTTCCGCGCCTATTGATACTTTTTTCGACGCGTCCACGCTTTGTCGAGGCTAACCATTAGAGCTCTGTCGTTTGAAGGCGCTAGAGCACGCTGTATTAGGCGATCTCCATCTGTGTGCTCTGTAGCGTTTCTAGGATACCCATTAGCGGACCAATCCATTTTAATGCTTTGGCATGTTCAAGTAGTAATATTGATCGGAAAGAAAGTGCCAAATTCTTTTTAGCCCGTTCAGCCTTGAATTTTCTTTAAGCGGTACACATTTTTTGTTTCACGTTGATTTGGAGTTACTACAACCTGCAGAACACAATTTTTTTTTTCTTTCTGAGCATCCCATCGGTATACAAGAAAAATGACTCCATGTCCTAAGTATAGGACACCGGGGCTTAGTGGATGTAAACTGAAATATTGTGAATTTAAATGCATCTATTTGTTTAACCCTCTTAGTGCAAGTCATCGTTGTGAAACTAACATACAGCAGCCACGTAAACTGTCCAATAGCAAGTCTTTGCGCTCGTGATATACAGATCCTCATTGCACTTGAATGGCCAACGTCTACTTATGAAACACTGATCCAACATAACAAAAAGTTGCCACATCCTGATTTGCGGTGCCAGAATCAATTCCGCCATGTTTGCAAGGGCAAGCTGATTGAACTACATTTCATCGTCGTCTTCTTCTAGCTCCATCAAACACCATTATTATATTTCATAGAACAAATTGAACTTCGTTTCATACTATATTGCTATTAGACATCCCTTACATATTATCTAAGTGATGTGGGCAGGTTTGTCGACTAGAATAACAACAAATCGGGAGCCTTACAAGGGCGCTACGCATCTGGATTAGCGTGAATGCATTCAGAGGTCTGACAACCATGCTGAGCCCTGGTGTCCTATACAGTACTTAGGACATGAAGATTGTCTACTGCTGCGGGCGATACGTTATTGTTAGGAAAGACGCACTTTGTAATTAGCAAGTTAAACATCTTAGAAACAATATGAAAAAATACGATAGCTACTGATCTAATAGTTAACCAGTAAGGTGTCGTTTATTATTTAGTTGTGGCGAGTGTCATCGCTATCCGCAATTTTGTTGTCTACTTTGCAGAGTTTCAATGAAACCAACTAAAAAAAAATTACTACTATGCTTGCGCTGGCGTATTGAGGATAGTACGGACTTGTTTTTTTTTTAGTTTCAGACTTCAGTGTGTCACATTTGGCTGCAAAACTGCTTAATGTCCTTTTTATGGGACGCTAGGGCCGAAAGGGTTAGACAACAACGTGAATGAAAGCACTAGCTTGTGATAGCAGCAAGCATGCTCAGACCCAGTCGTCCAGTTAAGGGTCGTGGAGTGGGCCACACAGGTCGCCGCCAACCTTGGGTTGATGGCCATCTAACACGGAATCATCCTCAGTTGCTTTCTGACGAAATAAAGTTTTACCATCCATCCATCCATGCAAAACTATCGGGAGGAACGCTGAATCTCTCGCGTAAACATATTTATCCCGGCTTCTAGAGAATCTATAGGTGTAGAAGTACTAGAGAAGCTAGTAGTGGTAAATGTAGCAGTTTTTGAAAGCAGTGATGTTTGCGTTGAATTACTTTGAATGTTTGCTTTGGCTGTGGCTGGCGAGTGACTGCTACGATTTTTTTTTATCTACAGGCACGTGTCCTCCAGCTTGAAAAGTATAACGCTGCATGGCGCAGCTGTTGCCTATTGTTCGATCTGTTTAGAAGTGACACACACGCACACAGCGCACTCAACCTCTTTAGTAAGCAGTGCCTCAGGGATAATATGATTTAGATATTGTCATGCACCAAGAGCCGTAGAGACAAGACAGGAACAGCGAGGCAGAAAGACACGAGCGTGTATCATCAAACGAAGCGCTAACACGCACTTCTTCGTTCTCTCTGCCCTTTTCGGCTGGCTAGGGCTTGCCGGCTCACAGACGGTTTTAGCGGCTACGTGGCAATTTTAAGGCCAACCAGCGAGACGGTTGTAGCGGCTACACAGCGATCCGATAAGCATGAGAGCGTGGGTTCATTTTCGGAACGTGATGAACACGACTGCGACAACACCCGTGTACTTGTGTGGCGCACGTTCAAGAACGACAGGTCAGAATCAAGCCGGTGTGGCGTGGATCATAATGATATCGTCGTTGTCACAAATTGAACAATCCCCTGTAAAGTTTTCTTTCAGATAAACGCTGAAGCCGCCGGTAAAACACGTCACAAAACCACAGTGTCGGTGATGAGACTTTCTGAACGCCAAGCAACCTCCATGAAAGTCGGTCTGCTTAACTTAGAACAAAATCGTGTCGGCAATCGCCTCTTGTTAAGGAGGAATCATTTCAATCATAATCAGATGCGGAAAGTTACCGTTTGTGCGTGGTCAGCACGATGTAATGCAGAAAAAGAATACTATGAGATAATGTTTCTGATATTGTAAGGTGGTTGATTGATCGAAATCACTGGTCATCTCACATAGTCACATTTCACTCGGTTTTGGCTAAATTGTCATTTAAAGAAGCAAAATGCCTACTTTAATCAGCTTCGTTGGCTTCTCTTTAATAAAAAAAAACGCTGGCTGTGACTCACCTATAAGAGAAAAATATCCTTAAAAAGCTAGTCAACAGAATTCCTGGAACTATAGCGACAGCTAATGAAAACTCGTGACAACTAGTTACAGTCAACAAACTATTCAACAGAACTCTTAGAACTAGTCAACAGCTCGCGTTTTTCTTGTCGCATGCTCAAGGTCAAGTGGAGGTCTGTTCAATATCCGAATGGCTCGTCCGGTCATTCCGTTTGGCGGACGCGAAAGAACGCAAGGTGGCAATGGACAGCGGAACCATTGCACTTTTTTCCACGGCAGTCGAACCGTCCAGCAAGCCGTCGTCCACTCGAAACAGGACGGCTTGCCGCGCCGTGCCGTTGACGCAGCGCCGGAAGGGCGTCGCCTGTGACAGTTGCATACCCAAAGAAACGTTGTTAGTATCGGCTAATCCTTCGCAAGGTGGGCCTGCATCGCGATGTTCCAGGAACACCACCCCGGAATTTTCGCACAAGCGTAGTAGCCGCGGGTCCCGCATGGAGCGCTTGGACCGAGAACCCCGTGTTTCAACGACTAGCATATCGTCGGCTCCCAGGAACGCCACGCATTTGGACGTCGCCGAAGAACGTAGCGCGCAGTCTCGGAGCATCAGGGACATGGCCGTCGCGACCGAGACGTTGGCGAGCACCTCGGGGTCATACCATGCAGGGAACGAATTCCCCCCTAAACCGAGGCGCCTTGACCGCGGCGTTGTTTCTTACGTTGGCCACGCCGTAGGCAGTCACCTGCCGTGCACCTCTGGATCGGTACCACTCGGCGAGATCGTTCACAAGTTCGGGGCTCCCACTGTCTACGCGAATGCAGATGGCGATGGAATCCCTGTCGCGAAGAGGCTCGACGAGCGACGCGTTGACGGGGATCCACACGTCAGACTGGCGGTCTCGACTAGTGCGGATGGACAGGGCGACCGGCACGCGGTCATTGGGTTGACCCGTGGCGAACTCGAGAACCGCGTCGTGCAGCCCCCGCGGCGAGGTGCGGGGATCTCCGTCTGCCGAGGATCGGGACAGCCGTCTGCACGCGGAAGGTCTGGTCGGAAAGGAGTTTGGGTAGTCCCGGTAGACAACGCGGGCTTGCACGAGGCAGCTCTGCAGGAATTCCGTAGACGCGAGCGCGAGGACTCGTATCACGGGTTCGGACGAGGACCTGCGTTAAAGACATGCAAAACCAGAAATCCAACGATCATTAGCGTAGGCGTCAGCGAGGGGATCCGAGGGCCTTCTTTACCATAATCATTTCAGATGCGTGCCCAGTGAACCCCGTATGGTTACTCATGCAGCCCGATTTGTACTGTCATCATTCAGTGCGCCGGATTTTCACGA